AGTTTCATGGTGATATCTATGAGTTCATGTGTTCACCTGTAGAGTCTCTAAATGTCTGTAATGGAACTAAACGTCTCTTTGAAGGACGTTTCCTCTAAATGAGTTTGTTCTCAGACTCTGATGATAAATCTCCACTTCAGCAGCTCTTACATTCACCAAACTTCACTTGTTCATTCCTCTCTGTGTGCTGAAGGTTCACACAGAGGGGTTAGTTCACTCACCACTCACACACTCATTTATACTAGATTTATTAATAAAACATGGAGAAAAACGATTTGATTATGACTGTTTTCTGTATTTTCTGATTTATGTCGTGACACCACGATATATCCAAAATGTAAAAACCTTTGACTCTAATATGTCAACAAAATCAAACAAGAATTTTAAACCTGGCTCTGTCAAATGTTCACGTTCATGTTGTGGAAATGTATGAAAATCAGCACATATTTGATAAGATAATACCTCATTTGCATTTTTTTAACATAACTTTTCCGAAAACTTGTAATACAAAACATAATAGTCTTAATGCAAGTACTCAACTAAGGAAGTTTCATTGTGACATCTATTAGCTACAAGGAAGTAAAGTTAGTCTTGATCATGTTTTACAAACATCAGACCAAACTAGTATTTGTCTTTCACTTACTACTTCTAGGAAACATTCTTCTGACGTTACCTTGAGCTATTTGCAGATTAAAATCTAAATGAGTTCTAACAAGTGATTACAAAGTGAAGACTTACGCAACACTAAAGTAAAACAGGTTGCACCTCACAAACTAGTTTATAAATAGAGAGAAGTTGTCACTCAATATTTACACCTCATATGTGCCAGGTGGAACTGTTGTGTGTACAACCGACAAAGCTAACGTCAGCTTGCTAACATGAATAGTAAGGGAGGGGGGGGGGGGGGGGGTCATCCATATGTTCCCAGGGTCCTTTGTTCTTGATATAAACTAACAATGAAAGAGATTAGTAAGGGCTATTGTCGCAGTTCCAATTATAAAACAAAAGGGAGAAGGATCCGTCCAGCCACGTTGGCGATATCGGTGCCACGTCGTTGTTCCGATGGCCCATTATTACGAAACCACGGTATGTCCCACTGGATCAAAAACCTGTTGCCCCAAAAACATCCCATCGTTCCAGTGGCCCATTATTCTAAAACCCAAATATGCATCATTGGATCAAAAGCCCAAAACATACCGTTGTTTCCAGGGTACATTTCTCCAAAAATACAAAGTCTTGGTGCAATGAAAGGAAATAAATTGTTATTAGGCTGATTATTGTGTGACTCGTCCTGTGGGTGGCTTACCCTGACATTATTACCCTAAACCTAGCTAGTCTCACTCCTCGTGCACAAACCTAACGAACAAAACCAACGAATGCCACGAGTAATAAGAGGCAGAGTGATGGGTCATGCCTTCGCCAGTAGGGAAAAAATTTCTGGAAGCAAGCAAGCAAGTAGTATTTCTAGCGTGCGATAACATTTCTTTTTACAATCAACACTTTAGTGGTAGTACAACATGTAAACCATTTTTACCTAAGATTTTTTTCTGTCTTTTTAAATAATGTACCAAAACACTGGCAACGAGGAAAATCTTGGGTAGAAAATAACAGAATAATTTAAATCATACCCTCTAAACCAAAAAATAAATATCTGTAGCTGCGGCTGATCTACAGAGGGAACCATAAAGTGCATCTTTGGATGGACGTGAATGGAAAAGCTAGAGACGTGTGTGTCTGCTTTTTTTTTTTCCACAAGCTGTCAGGTATGAACTGAGCTCTGAGTGGTTTGTTTTCTAGATCCTCAGGCGAACACAGTGTGTGTGTGTGTGTGTGCATACCTGACATGTATTACTGTCTGTTCATTTACCAGCCCTCAGTCACAAACGTGTTTGACCTCGAAAGAAAAGAAAGCAAACATCGCTGTGTGAAAGGCTTTGATTGATTTCTGCTTTCCATCTGACTCAGTGATAATTATTACTGCTTTTTGCAGGCTCGTCTGCCGGTGAAATGGATGTCTCCAGAAAGCATCTTTGAGTGTGTGTATACGTTTGAGAGTGACGTGTGGTCCTACGGCATCTTGCTTTGGGAAATCTTCTCTCTTGGTAAGTCCGTCCGGCCGTTTGTGTGTTTTGTCTGTGTGTTGTTTCTTTTCAGCGCTGCACAATGTAACCGAATCTGTAAAACGCAGGAAACAGTCCTTATCCTGGCATGCCTGTGGACGCCAAGTTCTACAAGCTGATAAAAGAAGGATACCGAATGGATGCTCCGGAGTTTGCACCCGGCGAAATGTGAGTTATCGTTTTGGAAGTGTAAAAAGATCAGAGGAGAGATGATGATGTATTATTAGAGTTAGTGTGAACAGCTCATAATTCATCTCTAATATCTATTTCATATTCATGTGGAAACATCTTCAAACTACTGGATTTATTCAACTTTCTCATTACATGTGAACACATCATGATAACGTTATAATGTACCTTCAGCCAGTACTCATGTTCACTGAGCAGAGCCTGAAGGCATCATAATGTAACTGAAGTGAACCTCTGTTGGTTAGCCGTTAGCGGTGCTGCTAACGTTACTAGCTCTCCTCCTGTTGGTTAGCTGTTAGCGGTGCTGCTAATGTTACTAGCTCTCCTCCTGTTGGTTAGCTGTTAGCGGTGCTGCTAACGTTACTAGCTCTCCTCCTGTTGGTTAGCCGTTAGCAGTGCTAACGTTACTAGCTCTCCTCCTGTTGGTTAGCCGTTAGCAGTGCTGCTAACGTTACTAGCTCTCCTCCTGTTGCTTTAAACACTGATTGGTTGTTTACAATGAAACATGATCAGAGATCAGGGACTAGAAACACATGTTCTACTGAATATTGGAGAACGATCGTCAGTAAAACTTTATTTCACACTGTGATGGTTAACGTTAAACTGTGTCATTGATCTGCGGTTCGCCAAGGGGGGATCCGAGATCAGGGATCGACAGTGGTCCGTTACACCACTACACACACACACACACAAAATAAAGGGGATGTGAGTCAAGTGAACAGACCAATAAAAGCGTTTGTGTGTTTCTCTGCTGCTGTACAGGTATCAGATTATGAGGTCCTGCTGGGACGCTGACCCCTTCAACAGACCCCCCTTCACGAAGGTGGTGGAGAGGATCGAACAACAGCTGACCGATGCCAGGAAGCACGTAGGTTGAGCGCACTTCTCAGGTTGTTTGTTGTTCACTATAATTGGTGCAGAACGGAGAAGACTTCCCAGGCGGTTCAACTGGATTATGAGTGAGTGAAGCAGAGGCGTCTCCAGGGTCCTAAAGGTGGTCAGGTGACGTGCTTCATGTGATACCTTTGACGCCATTTCTGAGATGTTTAATACATATTGGACATAAATCCAAGCTTTGTTCTCTATGATGTACACCAGGCCTATTTATATATGTATATATTTAAATATATTTATGTATTTTTTATATATTAATGTATATATATTTATATATAAATAGAAAATATATATTTATATATAATTATATTTCCCTTTTTGGCGGTGCCTTTGCCTCCCCAGATGCTCTACCAAGCAAAACAGAGCATCATCAATTCCAGAAGCCGTCCGCCGGGACAATCCCGTGCTCTATTTGGAGCTCGGCACATAATAAATATGAAATACCCCTAATGTCTTGAAAGATCTGACATGTGGACCTTATGTCCTTGTTCATTTATTTTTATTGTTATTTTAAAAGTAACTTTTGTTTTCATAGTCGTAAACAGCTCTCTTTGCTCGTACATGTTTGTCTGTGCATGTGTCCGTTTCCTGTTTTTACTGGACCAAAAAAAAAGTTGCCTTTGTGGATTGATAACATTGAATTAAATCGGGTGTATGACTGTAAGACGCATCACTTCTCGTGGTAGCGTTCACACATAATTCGGCTAAAGATCGGGGGGGGGGGGGGGGGGG